TTTCGGTAAGTCTATTTCGCGATATCGATCTAAGAATTGAAAAGTATGAAATTTACTGTAGTTTTGAAAATAAGATTAAACGGATATACAATCTTCAAGGGTGTATCATTCGTGGTTAAATAAGTTTGTTTTACAACTTACATTCGACCTAAGTTTATCAAATCACTAAGATGAATGTCCTGTACACGGCGAATCTCATTTCTTGACAGTCTTCTGCAGATTGAAAATTTTTACAATATAAGTATAAAAGAAAGTTACGTTATCATTGGGTGACAATCATATTATAATTGTGGCTTATGAAAGGATTTTAACTTAATGGACAATAAAAACTGAAAGACGCACATCGCCATATTATAGTTACATGACGAGATAGGCTGTGTAAATAAAGGAAATTTTGCGTTGAATCTATTACTAAGACATTTACATTTTCAGGACATGCAAACAATATCTATTTCATGACGGCTTCATAACGCATTATCTCTTCTATAATCTAGCATATCTACTCACTAAGTTGTATTAGAACTGTATATTTTCTTACTAGTTTCTGAGCTGATCATGCAAAGATATTAGTCTTAGAATTGTTTCTAATAGTAAGATAGAAGAGACCTTGACCTACGCGAATAATTACATAATCGTTGCTGCTAGTCAAGGTCTTCTCCGTCTCTGGTAAGAAATCAACACTTACAAACTGACTCTACAATGGTGACAACAACTACAATCAGATATAATAATCTCTAAAATAAAGATAGGTACTTAGCTTAATCAACTATACATATTAAATTAATGAATTAAAAACGGACGTCATAATATGTTCTTGTGATAGTGTTATATACTATATTAGAATAGAAATATCTATGCTAGGATAATTTTGTTAGCATATCCTTATTTAATTAATTTTTAATTTGGATGTACTGTGTTTTAATATAGCACTTACTTTATGTAACAGTGACATATACATAAATACTGAAATTAATAGTTATATTAGGGAATGCGTATTATCTACTTACAGTTCGAATCATTGTGATTGTAACTTACTTATGGTAGATTGTAAATTATCGTGGAAATGTCTCGTGATAGGACATATCGTAATCTGACTATTCTGTATTAGTCATCAGATGCCTATGTTCGTAAACATTGTTGTCTGCATTAGGGAGCAGTAGCTAAAATTAATGTCTAATTCAGTGAATGATTCTAAAGTTAAGTGTACTAACTATGACTCATGAACTATTGAGGAAGAGTATATAAATACAATATATCGTATCATTAAGTTAATTCTGAAACTTAGTTTTTAACGTAAAATACGAGACATCTAAGTCTTTGCGTAGTCTGCTAGAAGAGCGAAAGCATTCCTGATAGTGCAGATATCGTTCCTTGATACGTGGTTCAAGGAATTGACTTGGTTATCGTACATTACATTATCTTGTTGCTAAGCTGTTTTGCGACAGTTCTTTAACAGATCTACTTTATCTCTTAAACAATAATGCGCAAATCTTACATTATAATATAGCGTTGTTGAGCTTGAAAAAAATTTCAAATAATATGTCTAGCATAGTTATCTATTACATGTCTTTACGAATATATTATTTTGTAGAAATGCTTGCAATGTGATTTAGTACTGGAATTACATATAAATTGTAATAAATGGCGTGTCTAAAATTTTTTATACGCATCAAACCGTTAATAACAATAAATCTTAAGTCACGAAAATATTGAGAAATTCTTCTTGGATAATTTCACTATTACAGACTTACACATATTCTATTTGCTTTATAGGAATGAAAACTCCATCAGCTATCTGTGATATTCTGTTTTTATTCAAATATCTGAAAAATTAAATGTATAGCATAATGAAAGGTTGGATCAAGAGATCTGTAATGTAGCAATTTTAAAAGAAATTCTGTCTAAAGCTTTTCTCAATATATGAGTATACAAGAATTATATCGTTAAGATTACTTATGTTGTAATATTTCATACTAAGAAATATTTGCAATGGTAATACTTTATTTTTATCTTGGTATTAGTTCATCATAGGGTAATATTTATTTTATCCTTTATCATGATGTGTTTCGGTAACTATTACGGTGATTAACCTTAAAATAGATTATACAGCAGTTGTTTGGCAAATACTAAAGATTTATCTGCTAATAAATTGCTGTTTAAAATCACTAAATCGTGCTCAATGGAAAGCCATTTTGTGCTTCAGTTGCTGGAAAAATTGATAGTGCAAATTAAAATTTTTATTGCTAACTGTCCTTTCTATCTGATAATACTAATTAGACTGAATAAATCTTATTATTCGCCTTTGATATCGTGAATTATATTGTGTACAGCTCGGTAATTGGCGACCTTGATACAGTACCATGCAGCGATACTGCAATACTAGTAATGCCTACTATCAAAACGTTAGCAACTAATATTTATTTTAGTCCTGTATCATGATATATTTCGGCAAATAGTACAAGAAATTAATATTATAAATAAACCATACAGCAATCACTAGACCAACACTATAGGTTACCTGCCAATAAATTGCTGGTTGAAACGAATAAAATATGCGCAATTAAAGAAGTATTTTTATACTTCAGCAATTGAAATAATTAATGGTACTGTAGTGAAGCTGTTAGATGAACTGTTGCTGTCAACATGTCGTGTAGAGGTGAATTAGATATAACTTAAAAAATAACGGCAAAATCTAGGTCAGTTGAGAATAATAGGTATATATAAGTTATGTATGTAGTAATTCAAGTATGTGGATTTCAGCTTCGTAGAATATGATACTAATCATACAATTTTATTCTCATTCTAAACTTTGTAAGTATTAAGTAATGTGTTCGTAATTATTATGTTGCAAGCGAGTTTGATAGCGTATTTAAGAAGCACCGCTTTTCTGTTATTATTGGTCTTATTCCTTCTTTTCTAAGATCTGCTATTATAGGAGATTTTTCTTGTCTGTCAGAGCCTGTTGTGCTGTTAGCTAGCATCTCAATCGATAAAGAATTAGTAATGAAATCTGATATTATCAAATTAATTTTGTGATCTACACTCTAATTATCATTAGTAGAACAGGTTTTGTTGCAGGCTCAAATTATAATTTATTTAATTGCTAACTGTTCTTGCTATTTAACTGAAGAGATCATTAACAGTTTAGCTATCAGTACGAAAAATTCCAGATATTGCAAATTAAACTAAATAGTTCTTATAAACTGACTGTGATTGTTACTTAACCAAAGTTGCCAAATCTAAACTAATTAGATTACCCTAGATAAGTAACAATAACTGAGAAATGCACTTTCGGAATCTTCTAACTATATCTTTTTTCTGGAAAATGCAAGTCTAATTTAATATTCAAAATCAATCATTTAAATAACTTTTCTAGCCATAAAACCGGTTTGCGATGTGTGATATATTTCGACCAATAAGACTTCGAGAATACATTAAATTATTCCTAGTCTAATCCAATGAATTTGTAATCCCAACAACCTTCCCTTTTTTTTTAACGAGCAGCGCGGGAGTATTTACACTATTGTTAGGTGACTGTGATTATGGGTTCATTCCAATAGGTCAGTATAAGATTCTTACTGTACTTTTTACCTCAAGAATTCTTCATGTAAAACGAATAGCTCTAAGCCAGTATAAGATTCTTACAGTACTTTTTACCTCAACATTTCTTCATGTGTAAAACGAATAGCTCTAAGGTAGTAAGTTCTGCAGAGTACTGATTTTTTAAATAGTATTCGTTATATCGCTAAGGGTGGCCACTGGGCCTTTCAATTTTGATTTGATGTAATTCTCTGACGAAAATTGAATAAACATGGAATCTTTATAGAGTTTTCTACACCGCCATTTTGATTGTTACATTTTCTTATAACGGTTGTTATCGACAGAGCAAGCTTTGCTTGCATACGCAAGCGATCCTTAGACACATTATAATGATTGGTATATAATTGACCACAGTATTAAGAACATTGTACCGCACTATCGATATCTCACAGTACCTGGTAATCTTAAGTTGGTATGTCCATCACCGTACATTAGTTATCATGATGTGCTTTGGACCATGAACTAATCTTAGTATAGCATCTCACAGCATCTCATCTGTGAATGCATAATTAAAATGTAGTATTCTGGAAGCATCGCTGTGAATATAGTAGTGCCTGGCTATTACCGGGATATATATAATGTCGAATGGTGAAACTATCTGTTAATTATTAACAAATGGGTACATTATCGTAAACCGTCAGCAAAGCGACGTGAGTTTGTACTAGTATTACTATAGATTAACTTTATGTTTGCCCTAGCTTATAATTAACAGGATTTATATTGAATTTGCCATTGACAATTCATATACCATATTTAGTATAATTTAACCTGTATTAGGAACAGGTTTGTATCGGCTATATTAAGTCATCAAATAATTCATGCACATATCCAAATTAATAACTATCTCAACGTGATACATATACATATCTAAATTAAGTAAGTTATCATTCATCACGGTAGATTTACTACCGTGACAGAGATATTAAAATTATTATAACTTTGTATATCTGGATAATTGGTGTGTACTACATAATGCTACGCAACGATACTCCACTACTTACAATGCCTACTGCCAAAATCATAGCAGACTGTAAAGTAACTTAGTCATGTGATTGTAGATTATTAGCCACGCTTAGTATGATGTACGGTAGTGCAGTTATTATATTTATCTTACGATATATTTTGTAGCTTATAATTATAGACTGTAATAGTAGACTCTATGCTAGAGCACAGATAAATATACAGTAGAACGATGAACTACTATAAAGTTAAAGGTAAAAATAGAACTATGAATCATTTATTAGGAAATGGTTATTCATTTTACTTTGATTGTAGCTGCGAAGGCTACTTAGATTATAAAAGCAAGCGATATTAGATTATCTAATTGTTCTTTCTAAAAGTCTTTGAGTAGTTGTATTTGGCTAGAGTAGAGCTGTGAGTCACTAATCTTTGTATTAGATCTAATAAAGTTCTAATTTTCTACAAATTTTGAATTTTCGTGATCAGATTTTATCACTCAAATTTTCTAATTGGGCCAATTATGTAAATATATTGTATAACATAAATGAATATGATTAAGGCTTTACAAAATTATAGCACTAGTAGGAACCTATACGAATCGTAAAATATATTACAAAATATTGCGTAATTCATACTTCATATTAATGATAGATTTGCTCTAATATCATCAGTTGTTCTAAATCAGTGAGCATCAATGGCCAGAATAACTTACAAAGTTCTTAAATTTGTAAGTCCTTCGAATATTTTAGGAGAATCTAGGGTACTTAATAAGTTTTCGTCCAACCGTCTGTTTTAATAATTAGAAGATTATTATGGATAATATTGATATCAAAAAGATCACTTGAATGTCAGGAACTATTAATTTCTTTTAGAATTATTGTAGATTATTCTTTAAATTGTTACTATATGGTACATAAAAGTTAAAAGCACAAGTACTTCACAATTGCTTACAGTTCGTATACGTTAGATAGGTTTAAAAATGCCCCGTCTTCAATTTTTTCTATCTTATTTTTGTGAAGATGTCTAAATCAATGAAAAGAATACGATAACTTGCGTCGCAATCATGATTGCCGTGTAGTACTCGTATTTTTAGGACGGTTTAATCTAGGTATTTTAGCTACCAAGTTTAGAATATTGTCTCGCATAAAAAAATTTTCTGCTTATATTATTTTCTTTATTATGATACTTAGCTAATATACTAATTATAATCGTACAATCGCTAGTACGAAAATAAAACGGAAATTTCCAAAATTATACAAATAATCAGTATACATCAAGGCACTGTATCTGTTTTAGCTTACAAAATCTCCAGCTCTGATAATCCCCCAAAGATTTTTGAATTCAATACAGCTAATGAATTTGAATATAGATATCTGAAATAATAATTATGAACATGAAATAGTTGGAGCACTGACATAGCACATTAGATTATACATTCCAAATCTTGATAACTTACAGCCACCGTAACTTATTTAATCCAGTGAAGGCTTGCTCTCCAATCGTTTCTATCTTGTTATCATCTAAGTATCTAGAAATTAAAGCAAACCTATTACCTTTATTATTCTTACTTATCCCTCTAAAATGATTGATTTCAGCCGTTTTGATTAGGCATTTAACAAGTAGTACATCTGCTAAAATGACTATAGATATTGTTAATATTGCCCCTTGATGTTTACTATGTTCAACTATGAAATATTGTATTACTAATTAGCATAAATTCGTTACATTCAAAATATCTTTGAAGAAGGTATAGTGTTTAGCAAAGTTGTCATCATCGAACTATGTTAGTTCTTAATATAGAATCATTTAAACTCTTAATATAATATATAATAGTGTAATTTTACATATCAAAGCATATTGATAATTTCGTGTTTAGAAAGGAGTTCATTAAATCTCTGATGTCATACTGTATGTAGCTGCAAAAAATTTATTTCATCTCTGATAAATTTCATTATGCAACTACCGCATATTGTAAGCTTTCATTACTCTGCTTATAATTAATCCATCTATTATACTATTTATAAAGTACCTAAGGAGTAGGAATATAATTCTATAATGCTAAGTATAACATTTTCTTGTGCTATAAGTATCTCGCATTGGGCGATCTGCTTTTTATTTTAAATGTCTCTATGTTATTATATTCTTTGCCAATAAGAATGCCATTGTAGCATCAAGTTGTTATGATCATTTTTGTTCTTTCAGCATTTGCGAAACATTGACAGTATCGTTAGCTATGGAAAAAATCGTCTTAGAATTGCAAATAAAATTAATAGTTTTTGTGGATTCTGCAGTAATTGGTAGACATCAAATACTAGTGTACAAAATCTAAAAATTAATTCACTTGATGCTTCTTGACGTAATTTTTGCTTTCGAGTAAACTGTACAAAAATGATTAGCATGTAGTCCACTTACAGTACATAATGCATTTTGATTAAATGAATATCCTCTAGAAATTTTGATTGTTAAAAATTTATATCTAGAAGGCAATTATTGCCTGCATTGCTATATGATGTTCAGTTCTGCATAATTATGCTACCTTGCGAAGACTTACAGCAATTTAAGCTGACCTAGGTCTGCGAAGGCTCCATCGGCTATCCTTTCTATTTTATTGCTATACATATATCTATATTTAGAAAAAATAGTTTAAAAAATTTTGCTTCTTATTTATTTTATCTAGTGTTAAGCTGCTGTTTAATCTTGCTATTCGCCTATCACTTAATAAAATCAAGTTCTTTTAGCATTTTCTGCAATACTAATATTCTGTTATGAAATAAATTTTTAATTCACTACCGAATTATCAGGGCTAGGTGCAAGTACTTAATATTGCTAATAATAATTCAACTAATACAGCGCAGAAATCACAGAGAATATCGAATTAAGCAGTGAATGGCATGTTTATGACTTTATCTGCATTAAAATGGTGATGATATTATTAATTTAGTTGTAAGTAGCCTACAAATATTTCAAACTTGATAATCCTTCAAACGTCCTGGAAGCTATGCCACTGAGCGTATTTTGGTGTAACCACCTATTTCAGTTTTCCAGTTATTAATGCAAAAATTTTTCGAGGAATTAATATATGAATAGATGACCTACATGGGATTAAAAAATTAAAAATCTTAGCAGGAAGTTACTTTTGAAACTTACAGTGTCATCAACTTTTGTAAGCTTGAAAAAACGCCATTACCAATCCTTTGTATCTTATTGTTTGACAGATATCTAAATTGATAGAATCAGCCCCGTATCATCGTCAATATAGCATATTTCATATGGTAACGTATCTTATGCCGTATTTTTTTCACACTATTTAAATACAGATTTTGTAGGTGATCTGCCTCCGAAATACACCTTTAGTGCTATGGTATCTGTAGCAGTTACAGCCTTTTAAATAAAATATACACTATAGCATTAACAACCAGATTAGAAATTAGCATTAACTTAGTATTATATGCATATGGTGGCATTAAGGCTAAGATATAAAATGCGTGGGGATTTGACGACTTTAAAATAAATTTATTCATTAATAATGTTCAATATATATAGCTCACAAAGATCTTAAAGTTGATAATTCTTTAAATATTTTCTGCGACGTCAATTCTTCTAGGAGATTTCGATTAAGGCCACTTTATGAATATAATATGAAATCAAAGACGCTGTTGGGCGATTAGTATGCAAAGGATTAACAGAACTTGCAAATTGTAGTAATTACAATTTTGCAATAGTTCAAATTAATAGAATAATTAAGAATATTCTCGCTGGGAAACCATTAACACATCTTACATTATTTTAACTTACAGTACTTGTAAATTATACAGTCTTGCAAAAGCACCATCTTCAATCTTTTGTATTTTATTTTTGTTCAAGTATCTAAATTGAAATCAGTCATGAAGTGAAAATCTATTAATAAATTAGATCATTTATTTATTTGTGATAATCATTTGGAGATGACTTAGTGAGTTAACATTAACGAGGTATTAGTAGGTGTATCTATAACTATGTTTGACTTACAGCCATTTTAAGCTTGGATAATTAGATAGGCTATTTTCATTAACTTTCCAAATTAAGGTGCCAGTAATCCTTCTATTTTCAAAAATTATAACATTTTATATTTAAGCCTTGCATTTATAAGGTATAAATCACGGCTAAACTGAATTTAGAGATAGTTCTCACTTGCTTACATAAGTGAATTAAGTTAGATAAGATTTTTATTGTAGCTAAAATCTTAGTTTGATAAGTGCACTTATAGTGAAAGTGTCGTAATATACTCACAATTGTGTGACGTTAGCCATCATTACTTTTGCAGTTGGAAAAGTAGTCATGGTTGCATCTGTGCAGCCTATATACGAAGCACTCGGGCAAGTGCAAGTTTGAGGACATTGAAGTACTATTACACCGTTGCAAGGAAAGGTATAAATATAAAGTTTATTTCATTATTGACACTGGGCATACAGCAATCAGTTGGTTTATTTACTTAAATATACCATCTTAACACTCTTTCCAAATATCTATTACCTAGATTTATTATCCATGACCTATTCTACTACCTTTATCGTAAATTTTTATACAGTACTATGTTACTATTATTATAGTACGTAATGGTAAGGAACTGCCAAGGCTTTAATAATCGCTTCTTAACGCGGATTTAATTCAAAGCAATTGAGATACAATAGATGTGGAAACTTTACTCATAGTAGAAAGTTTTGAAATTAGACTTGATGATAATCAAAGTTGTGAATTTTTATTTACAATAAAACGCAGTGCATAACGTTTTTTTCATTTTATATTTATGTTATAACTTTATATCTCTAGCTTGCTCCTAATGCGTATCGGCCATGTTATATTTAAAATTTTCTTTATCATTATACATGCTGTATTCATTTCACGCGCAATAGCATAAATGCTGAATAATGATTAAACTTGGCAAGCTCACGAGCCACTATACAATGCTGGCTAACAATTGTTAACTATGTAATTTGAAGAAATGTCCAATAAATATTAGTCTTGATATTTAAATACATATTAGATTACCTATAATAATAAGCTATAATTTATATATATAAGTGTTACAGTTCAGTATATCTAACGTATTGTATTAGAACTAATTCATCCGCAGATACGGAAAGTTCTATAGTTACTCGGATTAATGTACTAATTGGACTACTTCTACGCAAATAATCAATACCTGGCCAATATCTGTTAGTCCTAGGTTACTCTTTATTTGAGATCAAGAATGATACAAGACAACGCTGAATATTATTTGACCTTACGGTCTAACTGAGATCATATAGATCACGATGGATCTCACCACTGAACGTAACTAAATCAAACAGCGCATACGATGGCACTTAGACTTCTCAAGCAATTATAATTACTAATGATTGCCGTAAACTGGCAACTACTAACAGCAACTCTGATGAGTTGACTGACTAGAATCGAATGAGTAAAATCACTAAAAACCAACTGCTGTAACGTTGTACAAATATTTAAATATTATGAGTACAGACGTACTATACTACTACACACTAACGCGGTATGACTAACTATCACGAATCAATCCGAACTGTATTCGGTCAAAATTGTAGCAATAAGTGGTTTAGAATCAGCAGCAAATTTCAGATAACCTTAAAAAAAACTAAATATTTAATCTCTGTGACTTATAGTATGTAAAACTAGGTGTATCGACTTGTATCGATCATTAGACAACGGTTTATAACTAATATTTAGGATGTCCTGTAACCAGGCAATTCTTGAGAAAAGTATCTGTACATTAATCTAGATAGTTCTAATGAAACTTAGTATCGTAATTGTAGACTTTTAGCTATGTTAGTAAGATTTACGGAAGCGTAACTTTCTATATTTGTCTTAAGACGTGTTTTGGTAGCTCACTACTGTGGACTGTAATGGTAGATTCTATGCTATAGTACAGATAACTATACAGTATATAGTACGGTGTTGAGTTATTATTAAGGCTAGAGATAAAAAAATAGAACTGTAATTCATATATTAGGATATGCTTAGTTTACCGTACTTTGACCGCTAAGAATAATATCTACGGAAATACTGTAGCTGTTTCCTAATCGCATTAATGATGGTATAATAATAATTTGACTATGTGTAAATTAAGGTAGACTGTTGCTATGTTGATTGTGGCTATGACTACCATGAAATGAATGTAAGCCGGCAACTTTAGACTATTCAGTTCGTTCTTTCGAGAAGTCCTTCAATAGTTATATTCGGCTAGAGTAGAGCTATGTGTAGCTAGTCTTTGTATTCGATCTAATAAAGTTTTAATTCTCTATAACTTTGGAATTTTTGTGATTGGATTTTATCACTATAGTACATCACAATAGTACATCATCATTATTGAAATATTGATTAGCAAGATACTTGAAGAAGATTGAACAATTCGTAACTGGTTTATATTCATACTTTACCGAATTGAAAGTCGAAAAAAATGTTTCATTAGATGTCATAGTTGCTTAGAATATACACTACTTGTTACGTTCTTGTATTTGTAGTAGTTAAGTACGAAATAAAAAGTTAACGAAATTTTCATACCTGAGGCATGTAGATAGCCAGAAAGGAATGCGAAATGCCAAAGTAAAATAGATAGTAATGCCATGATTACCCGTATTTTTTATTCAGGATACCTTTTAATTGACTTAATTGGTAAGATTAAAGTACTGGAAAGTACAGCAGATAGTTCATAAGTTGTATCAATTTATTTAACTGAGGACTTTGCTGATCTAATGCTCTAAAGAAGCAAATATTTGCATGATACCTATTACGCTTCGAAATCCTAACTACGATATAGTTTATAAAGATATTTTGTCACGTTGAATATGCTGTTTCATTACTTTACAAGTTAAGATTAAGAAAGATGTTGTCTTTGCTGCGAATCAGAAGATATCGTTTCGGTGTTGATAAATATAGAAATACATAAATGCTATACTTTTTACAAAATCTACTTGCCTAGATTTACTTAGATATGAGTGAAGTATCAATAAAAAGCTACCATTCATTAAAAATTTTAAATTTCTTTACCGAATGATTATCGCTTCAGAAAGAAGCTATCATAGGAAATGATTTCTTCGAATCGATTATGTGAAACCAAAAATTTGATATGTTTTAACGCAAATAAAAAGCAAGCAAGTTTCTTCAATTAAATAATTTCACTGCGAAATGCATTCCAGCGCCTTATGTTATATTCCAATTTAATTGAAATTGTTTCGTTACTCATATCTAAAATCTTTGTTAATTCATTTATTAAAGTCAATGGCACCAAATTAGAACAATATGTCTAATAAATAGATGAACGACCGGGGTCAATAAGTATTGACTCTTAAATTTTTAGAATTTATGGTAGCTAACTAATGGATTGTAGGTCATTAGTTATATATTGGTAGTATAGTAGTTCACGGAATGGGATTCATACTCAGCAGGTAAATAATTATCTTCTAGAGCAAAACAGCCAGATATGCTGCTGAATCATTATAGTAGCTATCTTTGTTAGTACTATATAATAATTGGCTTGAATCCATAGTATACATAAATTGGTTGATTGATTAATGGGCGTAACAATAAATGCATTCGCTTAGCCTAGATTAGGCAGAAATAGAACGATTGCTGTTAAAACTAAACAACAGTCTTAATTAGTTAATTTAATTATGTTGCAGATAGAATGGTTAGATACAGTAGATTAACTAGCCATATGTCGGTATCAACATGGGTAATTTATCGCGGAATGATATAAGTTTTGCTTTTTCCAATTGGTCAACAATAATATTTTTGCGTAATTTAAACTTGGCTGTCAAAACAACAAAAGTTTTAGCTATAGGTGTTTCTTACTGCTATTTAAAAAGTTAAATTTACCCTATTGCAATAACTGAGGCTTTTATAGTGTCCTATTTTAATGGAATAAATTGTGCAGAAATCAAGCTACTAAACTTCTAATAAACTTTGATTCTGCTTTCTTTAATCTTTGGTCGACTTAATGCAACTTTGACAACAAATAAAAACGGAGGAAACAACCGATCAACAATTTATTAAGAAAACGAGAGAGAGTCAGATTGAATAACCTTTCAAATACTTAATTCTAAGTTTTGTAAGTGAATAAATAAAAAAATTAATGACAGAACTGTAACTGTCAACAATCAAATAACTTAAAAAAAAGAAGAACGTTTTCACTTACAACAGTTCGACTTCAAAGGCCTTTAAAATTCAATAAGTTCTTAAAAAAAATCTTTTTTTACTCTCTACTCTAAATTTTCTGGTTGGACTATCATTTATAGCCTTTGCAGAGCCGTCAGTGGGATTTAAAATAAACATTTATTAACCAATCGCTCTTAAGATTCACTTTAGAAAATTACTTTGAACCGCTTAAAAATAAAAAAATAATTCAAAGTTCAGACATAATTTACCTTTTGATTCCCTTACAAAACACTATAAAATCAAAAACCTAACTATAAAATACATCAAGCTTCACTTCGAACATAATTTCTAATCATTATAACATTATAAAAGTCTAAAAATTAACCTTTAAGCATCAAGATTTCTCTGATTTTGTCTTAATATAACAGTCTAACCAATTAACAATCAACACAACCTCTACCATTTGCCATCTTATTCTGTATTTCCTCAACTAAACTTTCCTAATGTAACTTTCATGTCACGTCATAAAATTCCAAGCTGTAAATTCACAACGAAAAGTTTAAATTTCATAAATCAACTCTTACAACATTTTCCAAAAATTAAAATACAAAATTTATATCGGACATAGATCCGACCAGTTCCGGAATCTTAATCCCCAAAATCCGAATTTTATAAAGATCACATAATCGCTTAACAAAAAAATTTTATATTGACAACTATGACTACTTTTCTGGCATTAGCATTGACAGCTGATGTTTTAGCATGAAGTTGTGCGGTAACTGTACGATTATAACCTACATTACACTACTTTATTGTCATGTTGTAAATCCCCTTTCTCTATGAATAAGGCTTTGCTACTAAATCAAATTCATTTACAATCCCAATAGACTATCGAACGCCCTTTCTTTAGATTAGGCGATTGCTCCTAGGTTATTTCTATATTGATCTATAGAATACTTTGTGAAGTAGTGAAGAAGAAAAGATGGAGACATCATGATTTGGCCGGGTAAAACTTAAAGATACTATCACTTTCTAAGTATTTTTGATGGTAAAGTAATAATAGTTACATGCTAAAAGCTATAAAGGACTCTGCATTTTGTCCTACACTATTTTGTGTATTTGATATGTTTGCTGATATTTAGTAAAAACTAACATTTCAATTATGAGATCACAGATTACTAACCAAAATATAGTTTATAACATAATTTTTCCCAGTTTAAAAAAATTCATTAGAGTCCTGTTGTAAAGCTTTACTTCAGCTTCCCAACTAAATTTCGAAAAAAGAAATGATAAGAATATTGGACAGATTTCCTTAGCCTATTTTTGTCCTAAAAGATATAATTATGGCCATATTTAGCGGTAAAAAATTACTTCATAGCCAAAAGCTCTCTTAAAACTTGTGAAAAGATGTAATAATTACACGTCATTATTTCCATTTGTATGAATGTCTATCGACATCAATATAATCTTTGAAGCGTTTCAACTATGCACGTTACTATGTTTGTCTGTTATATATAGGTCACGTTCATATATATATATATATATATAAAACTTGGACATGTAACGGCTCAGTAATCATAGCCGCAATAATCAATTTCTGTCGCTGATTTATTAAAAGTTATATCAAAGATAAAAAAGGGTTAGTTAATTGAACAGTAAGAGTCTTCATAAGGAAAATAAATTACAGATAAGAGACTAAAAAATAAGAAAACGTAAACTACTAGAAAAAAAGAATTAAGTTTAAATACAGGAAAAACAGGGAATAAAGAGGTATAAGTTGAATAGACCGCTTATTACCCTAGAAAATATGATAAATTGAACTGGATATTTTTTTGATAATTTCAGTACTATCTAATTTCATTAATTCTTTAGCTATCGCGTAATACGGCCGTTAGGAAATTAAATGCCGATAGTAAATCCACCACAGAAGAAAGAAAGTGATGATTCTGTTATGATTTAAAAATTAAAGGCTAGCATTCTTTATTTAGACTAAATTATAGCTTCATAGGAACATGCGGTATTACAACGAAAGTAAAATTTATCGGAATCTTTCTTAGACCAATGTAAGGCAGTAAAGAAAAAGAGTAATACTCTTCAAAAGTTTGCTAGCTAATACTATGGATGACATGCATACTAATATCAGACTAACGTTAATAAATATATCTAATTATTATGGCACAAAAATTTTGTAATGAAAATGTTGCAATTGTAAAATGACGGAATCAGAATAGGAAATATTTTAAAGCTTGCACTGTTTTTATTGACAGTTAGATTTGCTAACAAGTCTTGCTTTGGAAGTAGTCTAGAAAACAATACATAACTTAACATCAATAGTATGAATTTAGCTCAGTCGATATCAGAATTATACTGACTTATGCATTTAATCTATAAATGGGCATTCATACAAGTTACTGCGATATGTTTTGAAAAGTATAGCAAGTTGCCATGAAAGTCTAAGAGGCATAAAATATCTAGAATTACCCTCCTAGACAGACTCAAAGGAATAGTAGCTAAAAGTATAACTTACATTAGGCGACGACTTTATTTTAGCCGTACTTACTAACAGTCTACAACAATAATAACTTACAACCAACAATAAAGGAGGTCAACGTTACTAAAACATTAAAAACATGACAGCTTGTAATTTAGTCAAACCGTATTATTAATTTTAGGTTGTAAAAGAATTTATTACAACATAAAATACAACTCTTAATATGAGCTAGGCAAGAATTCCTACCGGAACCCTCATTGTATCTACTGCCATTTTAATATTACGGATAGAATTCCTATTACATCCACTTAGTGACTCAACAGACATAACGGTAGCCCGTCATTGTCCTAAAGACACTCAATATCAATCAATGCAATGCATGAATGGTACCGACTTACTGCTGTAACTTACAATATAAATCATTATGATTTACTATAGCATACATTCTCTCGTAAAGGCGACTTTTAATATGATACCGAGACTGTAAACAACACGCTACATGATTAGTATGAAAGCACTTCTACAACATAGCATTAATATTGGAAAGGTAGTTCCTTAAGATAAGTCGTTTTACCTACTACCGCTAGATTTATGAGATAGCTCAAGATTATCATTCAATAACCTTTAAATTGGACGAGCAATTTTTATCACATAGTCTAGTGACTATAATCTAGATTATTTCTAGTATACTAACACTTGTGGAGAGGCATTTAAGAGAAAATAGAATTAGTGAACTGCGTATCTTTATGGTGGAAAGGGTTGATCCTAGATTTTAACGTCCGATCATATTATAATATTTCTATTTTGCAAAATTTATAGCTCGGTATGTCGTTTATAATTTTCAATTAGCAATTCTTATGACATTTCAGTGTATTAAATGTACTAGACAGTTGAGTTTATCTTTATTCGATTGTTAGGGTGATACCTTCATGGCATGATAGTTTAATACTGCAGTAGTAGCTAGTATGGAAAATATCCATATTTGTAGTGCTAGGTAAGATAAGTAATGCCTCATTATGTATATACATAGTAGTGAGGTGATTCAAGTTCTAGCCAATGATAGTTGAACTAGATAACATACATGCTTAGATTAAGATTAAGTATGAGTGAGAGATTAAAAATATTTACTGATAGAAAAGCTATGTAAGGAACATCTCAATTCGAAATGTCTCTTCCAATGTAGAACAATAATAATACTCTTGTTGCTTACAGATTACATGGTTGCTATATGGACGGGAAAAATTGAGTTAAGTTGTGTAAAGAAAAGTTGTAGATTTGCTTATGCTAATCAAAGTTCTATCTTTACGGTATTTCAATGTTTGCATTTAACGTTTAGTGAAAGAGCTTTTGAATCAGTAGTTACTTATTGACTTTTACTGTACGTTTCTTAGTTGCAGAGTTGAAATTGTGACATTGATACTATAATCCATTCGTGCAAGACATTAGCTAATAAATTTATTTAATCGCGTGTATTCTATTTTATAGATGTTTTCACAGTATATAATGGTAAGCGCATATATTTAAACTGGCAGATAAAGGTTGAAAGGCAGCAAGGAAATTTGGTCACCTACCATTTATATTAGACTTGTATTGTCTAGACACTTGTGATTGGATGTCTGATTAGTTGTTATCCAGAAACTACCATGTGTTGTTCCTTTTTAATACGAAATCACGATAGGATAGCTTCGATAACGATGGAGCAGGATGAAATCCTTCATCAGAATCAGCTGTTTCTATATTTGTATAAAGTGTACTGATGTTATTACAGCTATTCATCTTCAAATCAACAGCATTATGTGGCTTTTTGGGAACAAACTCGTAGCAAAACTTTCTTAAATCTTGGGCGCCAGTTGTTTGGTGATGTTTTGTATCCTCATTATTATTTAAAAGTTCTTGCCTATGACTGGCTTCTCTAGCATTTAGACCATCAGGATCGTAGAACATAGGATTTATAATACCTACGTCATCATTAGCATTAATACGATCAGCATCCGAAACATCATTATGAGGTATAAGACTGTTTTTATCATGAGTTGATTTGCTCTTGTGATTGATATCATCGCTTATATCGGCATTATTTCTGATAGTTGCAGTATCAGCGGATACATGTGAAAGGTTGCTAGCGAATGAAGAATTGATACTTTGATAAATAGAATTACATCTAATTATTTCATTATTACCAGAATGAACTTCACCGACTGATCCTTTAGTCATGCAGTTATCACAGTTATCACAATTGTTTTCATAACAGATGTTAGATGTTTCAGCGGGATTTTGCATTTCTTGATTAACAACATTTTCTTGATTAATGGCTGATTTATCGTGAGTTACAGAGCTAGTATTGCACGTTAACAATTGCAAATTAGAGATTTGTTTATGTGACAGCTGCGCTGATTTTCTATTCGATCCTCTTGTAACTAATCGATTGAAACAAGCTGTCCCAGTAGCAGTATAAATGTAGGGATTTATTGCTGAATTTAGTGGTATAGCCAAAATGATCGCAAATTGTAATGTAAATACATTTAATCTGCCTTGAATTATGGTAATTGCGGAAACTATATAAATTGGTAACCAGGCAATCAAATCTGTAATTAAAATTAATGATAATCGAATCGCTATTGCAGAGTTGCGAGATTGAGCACTGCTACGAACGGATCGTTGAGTTTTACTGACTGAAATTACTAACATTACGTAGGCTATTAATGTTATAATCCAACAAATAAGTTGAATTATAACAAAGGAAAATGTCCAACCAGCGTAGAATGGATTGTTTAGATTACTCGGAGAGCAAATAGAACTGAATTCATGTAAACGTCTATCTCCAATTTGATTGATACCCATTATAGTTGGTACACCAACGAAGGTGCATGTTAAAAGCCATCCAAGTATTAATGCTATTTTAGTCCGTTTATATCTTCCATCCGATGATGCAAATGGATTAGCAGTAATAGTATATCGATCGATACTGATAAATAACATCATTATAACCGACATCAAGCTTGATGTACATATTAAGAATGATGCTATAAAACAAGCTGGACTACTAAGCCATTCTTCAGCATATTGAGCGTAACGATCTCGATACATTAGATCAGCAACACCAATAATAAACAAATACAATGACATTAAAAAATCTGACAGGGCTAAATTGCTAAATACGAGTTCCGTAGCTTTCGTCATTTTCTGATCGTTACTGGTGCGATGCATAACGATAACAAGTATATTTCCTATAAACGCTGCAATACCCATAATCCAAACAGCTAATTGTAAAGATGTATGAGCCAGTATATTTTCACAGCTTGAGGCTGAATCTAAATCTGGAGTTGGCGTACATGTTGTAATCTTGGCGGGAACTATACAGCATAAATAAGCACGTGTGGAGGCTCTAGTTGACGTTGGATTATAAAAGGATAGAAAAGATTTAGAAAAAACCCTAACGAGTTAGGCATAAAGTCTCTACATAAAATTACCCAAAAATGGTTCAGAAAATATATTGGCGTACCACCCACAACATGTGAGCAACTAAACATCAAAGATTAATTTTCAAGTACTGTAATAGCTTGTAATTTGGACACGAGGAGTAAGTCGAACACGCCCAACTTAATAATTATTATCGTTAGATATAAATTACTACGAATGCTTTCGCACTGTTAAAATTTAAAAATTATTATTTCATCGCTAATTTTGTTTACTTTATATCATTTATGCGATAAATGATGTCTAATTCAGTAAATTCCTACTACTATAAGAAGGTAGTAGCTGATCAAGCCAATTGTCTACATGCAGAATAATACGAGTTTGTTAAGCTCAAGATTAGAAGTAATTTGCCCATTGGCAATGACTCGCCCGTTTGATATTAATTCCTGTCTGCTTCCTTGATATATGGGTATAATTTCGTATAGATAGTTCTGATAATGGATGAAAACTACTAAAAGATAAAGTCTACCGGTATATTACTCCTTAATTATTTATTGATCACTCTGATATTGGAATAAATTGGTATTTGTCACATTGCTGTGGTTGTAAGATGATACCGCGATTCTTCTTAAATCTATTTATGATGCACCTTGCTATAGGCAAGGTAGCTGTCAATATTTGAAGGTCTGTATTAGACGGAAGCGTGCTAGGCAATCATTCTTAAATTTTTGAATTTTATGCTTGGATATTAAATTAAGTTGATCGCATCATCAAAGAATATATTTCATTTTACAGATGCATAATGAAAACTTATACATGAGCTTTATAAGTTCGTTTCAATAATGGATATTGACTAAAGTATGGTAAAATTACAGCCGAAATTGTTAATAGCATGCTACTTAATATAAACTTAGGAAGATTTTTACTTACACAGTTGTTAATGCCGCTGAGCCATAAAATGAAACATCATTTAGCAGCGCTAATGGATTTGATTTAATAGAACTAATAGAAAAATTTTATTTTAATTAACTTCAAGGCAATCATACAAATTATCCAACATATTAGCTTATTGGTATACGTTTTTCTTGCCATAAGGTGTAATTATATTATTAGCTTCTGCTTTCAGCGAGATAGAATCATGTACACTGTACAATTTATTTATTCTTGCTAATTTTTCTAAGAAATGAAATACTTACAGTAGTTGTAATTTGAAAAGTGTCCTGAAACATCTACTTTTCAAAATTCTTATTTTGTTGAAATCCAAATATCTAAAATTTACATTTCATATAGTAGTAAGTTAAACTTGAAGAATAATAAAAAATGCAGAAAATATCACTTTATTCAAAGTCAAACTTAACAATTTCTGTAAGTTAGGAGCAATTCCGAGTACGTTTGACCTTCCGCAAATGTTGGAGAGTGTGTTCTGATTCATGTTCCTACGTAAATTCCGCATAATACTGAACGTGTAAGAAATATACTTTCGCATCTTCATGTATAATTAAAGACGAATTTTATACATACATTATTTTCAGTGCATTAAATTGGACGTTATTAGGATTAGTTACTTCGGCTATTGCATTATGAGCCAAATGTCTGCAGAAGTTTTTATTAATGTAATATATCATTGATATAAGTATATTTTGCTACATTACAAAAATACGTTTCACATAATGAAAGCGATACTCAATAATTGATTATTTGAAAAACTCTTTTCTATTAAATGGTATTGAAAGAAAGCAAGAAATATTGAAAATATTATTGATATTTTTATGATAGTCCTACTACTACTTTTAAAGTTCATAACTTATCACATAAATCGACCATTCATACATGTAGCTACATTTAAACGCCTTATCTTAAAGTATCGGTAAAATGCAAATCTT